AACTCGAAATTTTCTGTTAGGGTTTTACTTGAACGCCTGCCTGTCGCGTGACGTCACTCAACGTTTTCCTCAACAGATATCCGATCCACCTCCATTTTCTTAGGCATATTTGTTGGGTAATTGATTCTTGGTTGGTCATTTCAAAGTGTTTCCTGTTGCCAATCCTTTCTGAAAGGCTATCTGTTCTTCGGTGTTGAGCCATTGAAGACAGTTGCTAATGAAAGTCTGAAGCCTGTTCAAAATGTTTTTGGTGAAACCCTAACTTCCTTAACTATACAGAATCACCAAATTGACATTACTGTTGGAAATGTGAATCTTGCTTTTTATGTTTAGGACAGTACATTCCAACTCCAGTTTCACAGAAATTAAGGTGTGTCTTGTTTTAATGATGCTAACTGGCTTTGATATCATCCACATCACCTTTAGTAGAAGCGATGCTATCAAGATAAGTGAAACAAGGCACTTCATTTTCTCCTCGTATGATACTACCCATGTCACCCTCAGACGGCCACCCATTCAGGTCCCGCTCGATGACGTAGTGTGTGACTCCATTTAATGGTCTCCTCATATTCCTCTCCAGATCAATTATTATTTCCTTTAGTTTCTAGAGGAACATAGGGCTTCAGACGCACGTCTCCATTGCGTTCCGTCCTCCGCCAACGTTTTCACCAGGCTCCACGTCTGCTTTCATCTCCTCTTCTCATGTCCTCCTCCATTTCCCCCCCCCCCATTGACCACCTTCTCGCCGCTTCCCATTCAGGTTCCATTCGACAGAGAAAGAGAGAGCCTGGCTTGTGATGTCACTTGATGGTTTCTTTTCTCAGAGTATGGTCAGTCCACCTCCATTTCTTCCCGCATATTTGATGCACAGTTGGCTCCTGCTGGGTTGGATTACTCATACAGATCTCTGTTGATGATCGCTTCTGTCCACCTGTTCTTGAGCGAAGTATTGGGAGAAGACAGCTGTTGATGAAGGTCTGTAATTAGTTCGAAATGGCCTTCATGAAGCGCCAAGACTCTGATTCATAAAGTAAGTAGCACTGACTTCACACTGGAGTTGAATGACCAGATCTTATTTTTCATGCTGAGTGTTGTCGATCTCCACATAGACTTGAGGGTAATGAAAGCTTGCCTTGCTTTCCCGATCCCCGCTGCTTTGATATCCTCATCAGTTACCCCTACCTGTAGTTGAAACGATACTTCCCAGGTAGGTAGGTAAAGGAAGTGATCTGTTGCTGTTGGCGAGGAATCTTCATCATCTCCGTTTTCTCTATTTTAAGTCAAATATCTTTCAGATCAATAGAATTTATTATTTATTCATATTCTTAATAACATCTTCGAATGTCAATAGGGCAATATTGCTTAATTAATGCATTTCCTCTTAACCCATCATTTTAACTCATAATTTATTTTTCTCTGCATCAATATTTTTGATGATCGTTTCTGATTGAAACATTTTCAAATACGATCGAATTACCAGTATAGCGAAATAACTAATTTTATTCATCTACACCCCAAATATTATTATTATTTGTTATTATTGTTTCCTTGGGTTATTAGTGGAACATACCGCTTCAACTACACGTCTCCACTTACTTCTGTCTTCTGCTGTACTTTTCACTTGCATCCATGTTAATCCATACTGTTTCAACTCTTCTTCATACGATCTCCTCCATGTCACCCTTGCACCGACGAACCACTCGCCGCTTCCCTTTCACCTTCCACTCGAGCTATGGCCTGACGCGCGATGTCACCCAGCGGCCTCCTCAGCTCAGCGAGTGTCCAATCCATCTCCACTTTCTCCTGCATATTTGTTGAGCGACTCATTCTCGCTTTGTTTTTTCCAATAGTTTCTTGTTGGTTCTTGTTCTTTCCGGCCATCTGATCTTCAGTATAGAGTGAAGACAGTTGTTGATAAAGGTCTGCAACAGGCTGTTGGAAATATTCTTCGTGACCCACAGCCAAGTTTCTGATCCGCACAGAAGAACTGACTTGACGTTTGTATTGAAAATCCGAATTTTGTTGTTGATGCTGAGTGACGAAGACTTCCAGATTGGTTTCAGGTTGATGAATGCGTTTCTCACCTTCCCGATTCTCGATTTGACATCCTCGTCCGTTCTTCCTGTAGTTGAGACAATGCTCCCTAGATAAGTGAATGAAGTAACCTCTTTCATATCCCTCCCGTTGATGGTGATTGGCACTGTATGTTGTTGTTGTTGGTGGTGGTTGGTTATTTTCAAAACCTCCGTCTTGTCTATGTTCACCTGGAATCCTGTCTTTCCTGCTAGTTTTCTAGCCGGTTCCAAGCCTGGATAAAGAGGGAGGGTTTGGGCGTGGTGCTAGCAACTCCAACCCCAAAACTTAACCAAATTGCTGCAGAAACTTCAACGCATAAATATATTTAAAAAAATACTAACCTATATCCCAATAGTATGAGATTACAATTAAACCAATTACTCTTGCATGTGATCAAAAAAACTGTGTGATTCGGAAGTGTAACGGGTAAAAAAGGTCGTTTTTTTCCTATATATAAAACGTTACTATGGAAAATATTATAAATTAACTTGGGAAATATCAATGTCCCCAGAATTTTTCTAAACATTTATCTTTAACTCATAACTATAGCGAGAGAAAAAGAGAGAAATAGGGACAGAGTGAGGCTTGAAGCTTTCTGAAAAAAAATGTGATTTCGAATTCTCTTAGGGATTATTTTTCTGTTATCTAAAGGAAATAAGGCATAACATCACTAACAAACGAATGATGTAAAAATAATCTCGTGAGTGCGTGTCCCGACAAAATATATATGCAAGAAAACCTGAAAAACTCCACAAAAGCAGTCATTCATTGCTCAATAGTATCAGGAATAATGCTTTATTCTGCTAAGAAATTCGTTGAAAGACCAGATTCTTGAAGATTCCTGTCAATCGGCACTTGCATATGCTAGTCTTTTAGCAGCATCCAGAGCCAGTCACCATCAACGGGAGGAATTTGAAAGAGGTTACTTCTTTCAATTATCTAGGGAGCATTGTCTCACACACACAGGAGGAACGGACGAGGATGTCAAATCGAGAATCGGGAAGGCGAGAAACACATTCATAAACCCGAAACCAATCTGGAAATCTTCGTCACTCAACTCATCATCAACAACAAAACTCGGATTTTCAATACAAACGTCAAGTCAATTTTGCTATACGGATCAGAAACTTGGTCTGTGTGTCACAAAGAATATTTCCAACAGCCTGTTGCAGACCCTTATCAACATCTGTCTTCGTTCTATACTGAAGATCAGATGGCCGGAAAGAATCACCAACAAGAAACTATGGGAACAAACGAGACAAGTGCCAGTCGCCCAACAAATATGCAGGAGAAAGTTGAGATGGTTTGGACACTCGTTGAGCTGAGGAGGCCGCTGGGTGACATCGCGCGTCAGGCCATAGCTCGAGTGGAAGGTGAAAGGGAAGCGGCGAGTGGGTCGTCAATGCTAAGGTGACATGGAGGAGATCGTGTGAAGAGGAATTGAAACAGTATGGACTAACATGGATGCAGATGAAAAGTGCAGCAGAAGACAGAAGCAAGTGGAGACGTGCAGTTGAAGCCCTATGTTCCACTAATAACCCAAGGGAACAATAATAATTAATAATAATATGCTAGTCTTTCAGTTTCTTTGCAAACGATATCTTCGGTGATGATTTTAGTAAGAGGTTAGTTAGCTGTGGAATTCTTCTTGAGTTTATAATATCGATCACTTCTAATAAGCTTCAATGTGATTGGCTGTTTTGGCAAATTTTCTTACCCTCATGTCAAATTGTATTTGTACTGGCTATGTTATTGATCTGATAACTGATCTTTAGCCCATGTGATTACAGATCGGCTTTTCAACTAATTTATAATCAAGCTGTACAGATGCATATATATATATATATATATATATATGGTTTTTAATAACAATGTGGAATGTAACGAAAAATAATTGGTTATGGACTCTTAATTATAATCATAATAATTAATGATTCGCTCTATCCCAAAGCTTAATTATGCTACAGCATGGAGTTCTTAGTGTTTGGTACACTACTGCATATAGTTTACTCAGCAACAACAACACCAGCAAAACATCACATGGTACAGGAAACCAAAAATGATGATAAGATCGTTTTTGGCATTGTCAAGTAACAATCAATTAAAAATTTACAAAATTATAAAATGAGAATAATAATAATCATATTAATAAACAAAATGTTTTCAATAGTTGGTTTGTAAGGATTAGTTTTGCTTTTACGAGTTTGACCAGGGATTGATATCAGTTGACGGACCATAAAAACCAGAACTGGAGTACTGGACAGCTGTTTCATCCTAGTTTGGAATCAGTTTTTAGCTCCTGGGGTTCGAACCCAGGACCTTGCGATCACAAGGCAAGCTCATTTGAACCACGGGTGGCCGATGATTCGCAAACTCGCATAAAACAGCTGTCCAGTACTCCAGTGCTGATTTTCAATGGTCCTCTAACTGATATCAATCAGTGACTAACTCATAAAAACAAATGCATAAGTCTATCAAAATAGTATCCCCGTAAATTAAAAATGAGAGGAGATAAAAGAGCCATTTATTTCGCTAATTATACAGGAAGTTGTAAGTTTCCCGCTAAACGCTTTGTAACATAAAACGCTGGCCAAATAGAGTAAGGATTATCTATGAGCTCGCCTTCTAACCAGATCTGGGCTTCAAACTCCGGCGGGTGCCTCCTGGAGAAGAGACTCAAATCAGGACGAAACAGCTATTCAGCACTCCCTGGTTTCCCGATGGTTCTCAAACTGATGCTAGTCAGTGACGAAACCAGTAACCAACCAAATCCCTGCAAACTAACACTTGATAGTAACAATAATATTGAAAAACGCATTACTTCTCATAGATGATAACTGCTAATAATTTCCTCTTGATTTGTTCCCTAACAAGCTAGTTTACAGACAAAATTGAACACACTTAACAACAGACAATAGACTCACTTTTTCACTTATTGTCCCATATGTTGTATCTTCAGATTTTTGTGTAACAACTATGGTAAAAACAGCATGTGATCTACTACTTGTTTCGTTCATATTAGTAGCAGCAACAGTTCTGTAAAAAATATAGAGAGAGAGAGAAATAAAAAAATACACCCCGGAGGAAGTCACTTAGTTCGTATAACATTAAAAGAAAAAAAGATGAAATTTACAATCTGTTTTGCATTGAATATTAGAAAAATCGTACATATTTTCAAGCAGAATTTAGAGTTTCTTTTTGATGTTATTGTCGTTGTTGTTGTTGACAAGCTTTTTCAGTGAAGTATTAACCGTTAGACTTCAGTGACAAAATACAAGAGAATGTTGTCAATCAAATCGCATGCCATGAACAACTTCCTTCTTTGAATAGACCGTCATTTTAAATATCAAGTCCCTTGAACGCTACATGTCAACAAATATTTCAGCATTCACCCTACTTACAGTTTGTAGGGTGAAGGGGCTTATTTATTGATAAGTTAGTAATAGCACAGGACTACTTGAATTTACTCATCTAACTATTTCTCATTTTTGACTTGTAATGATTTGATTATTTTCAAGAATGATTACCGATTGGTATCAATTGAAGAAGCACTGAAAACCAGGGAGTAGTGGACAGATGTATTGATCTAGTTTGGGACTTTATGATATTAGATGGTTGGAGGCAATCGGCCACAGGAAGCTTTGCTTGACCTAGGTTTCGTGCTAGTTGGCACTCACCAGTCAGTTAGTAAGGCGTATCTGCAACCTTGAAGGACTAATGTCCCTTCTGAGATTCGAACCCGCGTCACCCAGTGAGTGCCGCAGTCAGAGACGTTGACTAGACACGTCACACTAGTTACTAGTGTTCAATCAATCGCGAGCCTGGAAAGCTCGGTGGTAACGTTTCTGACTGCAGCACTGGGTGACGCGGGTTTGAATCTCAGAAGGGACATTAGATCCTTAAAGTTTGCAGAAACGCCTTGATGACTGCTGAATACCAACTAGCACGAAACCTAGGTCAAGCAAGGCTTCCCTCCTATTCCCTCCAACCATCTAATATCATCAAATCAGTGTGCTCCATGATGGCGAGCCACCTAGAATGATGGCCGCATTGCGAACCTGACTGACTGACAGAATTCAGTTTGAACCAAAGAAAGGACTAGACACATCACACTAGTTACTATTGTCCAATCAAACTAGTTTGTGACTCTTCATCAGTACACTAAAACTCGAGAATTGACAGAAGTTAAAATTCATGAGCTGGTCATCGAGGTTCATCCCAGTGGCTTAGTGGCCGAAACGTCCTCCTCGTCACCTGAACGTCCTGTGTTTGATCCTCAATGGGGTTATGGGTACGCGTTGCTAAAGAGTCCTAGAGTCAATATGTAAATAAACTTGAAACTAATTATTTCCATTTTTGGCGGGCAGCAATTTAGGCAGAAGTTGATATATATATATATGTATATATATAACACGTTCTCAATGACATAAATTTTTGAGTTATTTTATGTCCTACAGATAGGATAGCCTAACTGTTTTAATCGACCGACATCTACATGTCCTAAGTTGAACTCAGTCGTTTAAGGTCATCAATGGAATACTTAGATGAGTAGTTTAGACAGTAATTTAAGCATTATGTCGAGCAAAGTTAGAGACTGAAAATTTCTGATGACATAGATCGAATCAATAGCATGAATTCACATATGTTCTACTTTACAATACCCTCAGTAATGAGTAAAGTGTTACACGCATACATGTGTAGAACAGAAATGTTTCAGTAATCAAATTAATTTTGTAAGATCGTATTGACTAAGAGACAGTTTATAAAAACTGAAATAGTTCTTTAGATAATTGTCAATAATGTACTAAGAAAATGGATATAACTGAAATTAAGATACCATCGACTCAATGTTTGCTTGCGAAATGTTAACCGCCTAACTGTTCCTTCGTCTCTCCTAGTCATTAAAGCATCTAGGAAAACCAGTTTTAGGGACAATGGAACTATTAAGCAATCCATACTTCTCAAGTAGGTATGGAGTAGACAATATTTTCATATCAGCAGTTTCGTTCTTGTCTAGTACAACGGTCTCCTAGTGAGAAGTCTGTTCTCAAATGCGACAAATTAATGGATGAGCTATGGCGTATATATTCAGGTGTATTATTCAGCGGATATCCGGAATGCTTTAATGTATGTCACAGCAAAGAGGGAGTGCGTTCCTTGAAGGGATAGCTTCTGTAGTCAAGAAATATACTTTTATTTAAAAAAATACTATTCAAAGGTGATCAGATAATGCAATCATACAACTGGAAGGCTTTAGTACCTTTTCCTTACATCTTGAAGAACGACTAAAGAACGAAGTTCTGTGGACTCTACTTCACATTGTATCTACAAGTCCGTCTGCAATTGCGGTGACATATATTTGGGCAGAACCAGTAGAATGCTCTGATGTCATTGAAAAGAACATGTTCATAAATGATTACTTAGACACATTGAAAAATCAAATGTGCTCAATATGAACAGAAATCCGTCAATGACCATTGGAAAGCATTCATTAATGTCTAACCACAAAATTAATATTGGTGACTACTACCCAGACATTTCAAATAATTTTAATAAGGATTTATTAAACGGGATGGAGGCTCTTTGAATTAATCACATGCATCCCAAAGTAGGTTTAAAGAAAACAATACACTTCGACTTTCGCCTAATGTGGACTTCTTGACCTAATGAAACACGATTGGATGAAAAACTTCAACTGGAACAGGCTGGATTCAGGAGAAACAAGTCATGTATTGATCAAATGGCCACACTACTGATCATCATTGAACAAAGACTGGAATGGCAGTCACCACTCTATCTCAATTTCATCGACTTTGAAAAGGCCTTTGACAGCGTCGATCGAGAGGTGATTTGGCAACTACTACGCTGCTACGGGATGCCGCCGACAATTATACATCTCATCCAACAGTTGTCCGACAATGCTGCATGACAAGTAATCCACAACGGGAAGCTCACGGAATCCTTCGAAGTGAGGACAGGAGTAAGACAAGCTGGCTGCCTAATATCGTCGATGATTTTCCTGATTGCAGTAGATTGGATAATGCGACAGACAGTGGGCAATGAGGAAACAGGCATAAAGTGGACTCACACAAAAAACTTGGAGGATCTGGACTTCACCGATGATATGTGTCTGATTTCCCACAAACTGGAAGGTATGCAAGCGAAAAGCAACAAGTTGGCAGAAGAAGCAGCAAAGATAGGACTTCCTTCAGGTGAACGTAGAGAAAATAGAGGTGATGAAGATTCCTGGGCAACACCACCAACAGCAACATCAACCACAACGACAAACAACAACCAGCGAAAATGGAAGGAACCTGGAAGAAACAACCTCCTTTACCTACCTGGGAAGCATCGTTTCAACTACAGGCGGAACTGATGAGGATATCATAGCAAGAATCGGAAAAGCAAGACAAGCTTTCACTACTCTCAAGTCTGTGTGGAGGTCAACAGCACTCCTCAGCATCAAACATAAGATCCACATTTTCAACTCCAATGTCAAGTCAGTCAGTGCTACTATACAGATCAGAGACTTGCCCTGCGCGTCACAAAGAGCACCTCAAACAAGCTACAGACCTTCATTAACAGTTGTCTTCGCTCAATACTCAAGATCAGATGGCCGGCCAGAAAAGATCAGCAACAGAGATCTCTGGCAATGAGCGAACCAACCAGGAACCGATTGTGAAACAAATAGGCACGAAGAAATGGAGATGGATTGGCTGGACATACTCTGAGGAAACAATCCATCAAGTGACATCACTAGACAAGCCATTGCTCGAGTGGAACCCGAAAGAGAAGCGGCGAGTTGGTTGTCAGTGCAAGGGTGACATGGAGGAGGTTATATGAAGTGGAGATGAAAGCATGTGGGCAGACTTTGAGCCAGGTGAAGATTCTAGCAGAGAACCGAACGTAATGGAGACGCGTGGCTGAAGCCCTATGTTCCTCTAGGAATTAAAGAAAATAATAATAAAAACAATCTACTTTCGTTTCAAATAATTGAGTGATTGTCACACATTTTAATGATAGTAATAATAACAGCTTTATTATGAGAAATGCATTTATACACAATACAGAATTTTCAGTAAGTTTCATCGCAAGGTATTTACCCCTTGCACAGAGTCTTCAAATAATATGATAAGCGATAATATATCAACCATCCAAAGTATACTCCGGTACTACTCCACAATCTTCTTCCTCTTTATGCTCCGAAGAACTCCCAGTGGTAGGTAGAAACTTCCTCGAAATTGTGCTCAGGTACGGATCGTGACTCACAGTGGTAATTAGTAGATGTATTTTGATGGTTAGAAAATTTAGGTAGCTCAGTGATTTAATGTGAACCATTCTAGTTGTAAATTGATCGTAAAGGAACTACGAAACGATATCTTCTCGTGATGCTTGTCTTCATAACGCCCTATTCAAGTCAATCCATGAAGTTGGATTTTGTTGATAAATCCTTCAGATGTCATTATCAAAGAGGACATTTCTGTAGATTTAGCCGGCGAAATATGAAAATGAAGCGAAGTAGGAACAATAATAATTAACAAAACTACCAAAAACCAACTCACATACACACCTTGCTTTATTACCCACATCTATTAGTTCATTGATTTCATCGAATGAAATTACAGCACATTTTGATAAATCTTCAACATATGGTCCAAGTATAGGATGTTCCCTAACGCGTAGATTTCCTTTACTCTTTGGATCCAGTAAATCTCTGACACGTTCACAATAAATTTCAATATATGACACCTGAAAATGTAAAGTAAATATAAGTGAAATTATTTGTCTGTCTGTCTGTATGTTTTCAACATAGAACTTTGCACCGATGTCTAACAGTTCAAGCTGTCACACTCCATGTAGCACACAAAGCAAGAGAAGTAGGTAAAAAGAAATTATTCAAGGAAAATTCAACAAGTATTATATTACAAATGAACTGTCGTCAAGATTTGACAGAATAGTTCCAAAATATTTGGGCACCGAGTGAGAAGTAGACATTTGTAAAAAATTATATTTCTAAAGTCTCAGCGAGATAATGAGTATCATATCCTAAATCCGTAGCTGTCGAGTCACCTGACAACTCCAGTAGGTCGAACAAAGCAGCTCAATCTTCAGAAAGAAGACAAAGCAATAAGTCCGACAGGGTGCTTCTACTAAACTCTAATCCTAAACACCATAATTTTGAAAATACGTCTAATCATAAAATTCTAGATACTAACAGTTTGAACAGAGATGAATGCGTGATGTTAGCTGATGCATAGGAAATTCTTATCAATAAATAAAAATGGATATGTATCACTAATTATTAATACTTGGTCAAAATTGTCCACTGTCTATATCTTCTTATGGAGACGTTAAGAAATGTTTTACAACTGTTTACCCACATACGCATGCACACTCTGTTTAAAGTGTTTAACAAAGGTAGACCGATATTTGTAAGACCGATCACAGTTCATAAAATTTTGTTTATTATACTTGTTGAACTTGTTTATGACTCATGATTGGACAAAGTTTTTAAAAACAAGTGATGTTCCTTTTTATATTTAAACCTATGTTATGTTAATTTCGATTAATTTTCTTGATGAAGTTCGGATCAGATTGCAGAACGAAACGTTGGAATTGCTCATTTCGATTACGCTGAGATTTTACAAATATAATTTTTTACAAAAGTATTATATTATTTTATTCCTTTACGTCCCCAGTGGAACATAGGACTTCAAACTAGAGGCGTGAAGTTTCGGTAGCAGTGGTTTTTAATATTTTACGGCATGGAGTTGTTAGCCTCATGCCCAACCTTCCCTCTTTGCCGATCTTGTTGCTGGTTTAGCAAACAACGTACACGAGTGTGTCAGCAGGGGATCGAAGCCCGGACCACGTTTAGAGTGGTTGGCGAATATTCTACCGCTAAGCAACCGACACAAGTATTTCATAGTTTTCACTAATATTTCATACTGTTACTGTAATGCTTTGAGATAATGAAGATATGTGGCTTTCGTGGACAAAAGTGATACGGTTGCATTCCCTCAGCTGGATGCTTTAACTTCTAAGCTTTCACTGTCATTCTAGACAACATCTTCAGCGCAGACTTCAATATGAAGTGAACATATCACCTTGAAAGACAACGAAAACTTTTCAGTTAGCCCTTACAGCTCAGCAACCATATTCACGTCAAATTCATCCACCTGAGCTACAAACCTTCTCCAATACTCCGAAATGTGATTCATTACCGTAAACTTATCATAAATATCAGCATTTTGCTTCTTTATTCACATATGAGTGCGTCGGTGGCACAGCGGTGGAATTTTCGCCAACCACGGCTCATGTGGTCCAGGGTTCGATCCCTGGCCGACACACTCCTGTACCTCACTAAGCCAGTGATAAGACTGATAAAGAGGGAAGGTTGGGCATGAGGCTAGCAACCCCATCCCGTAAAATTAAAAACCACTGCTACAGAAACTTCAAACCTCTAGTTTGAAACCCTATATTCCACTGGGAACGTAAAGGAATACAAAAAGAAAATTCAGATATGAATTAGAACAAGAACTAGAATTTAGACACAATGATCTCATTTTACTTGATTGTGTAGTTAAATTTTTACATCAGTATGCTAAGCGAAAGATAGTTTCGCTTAGTTAGTCTATCCTTCGATCAGATTAAAGTTGTTTTTTCTCATCCAAAAAGGAGTTTTAACTACGCTTGTCTTGTATGTCGTGTTTATATGAACAAAACAGAAAGGATAACCGATACTCACATTAATCATCATACTGAGGAAGAGGGAGGGGGAGAGGGAGAGGGAGAGAGAGAGAGTAAAAACGAGTCACAGATGTTGAATTTCTTAAAGGAGGAAGGATATACAAACCCTTCCCTACTGGTTACAGATATCAGTTACATTAATCGATTGTTTTAATAGCAGCTAGCAAATATACTTCATATTGATGATGAAAAAACTTTCAAGGTGTTTGTATTTGAGCAAAATAGTTAAGAAAAATTCAGATTCTTACTCTCTAGGGATTTGATGTAGATTTCGCCACATATGAATGTTCAAAGAGTTAGCAGAGCAACATGAAGTTCCTTGATTTGATTCTTGACCAAGTATTCTTAAGCAAGACGAAATAGCTATTCAGTTTGCCTTGATTTTCAACGATCCTCCAGTTTATGTCGGTTAATTGAAGAAATTTGCCTTGGAGATGACAATACCATCATTTAGAGTTGCCTGTCAAGCTTAATTTCAAATGGAATAATCGGTTCAGATATCTGTGAAGTCGTAACTATGGTGGACTGGTTCATGTGGTAGACTTTGGGGAGAGAGAAGATAGGAATCTGCAGGCTTGACAAGAAGACTCTAAGAGATTTGAACTTCGAGGTCGATTCATGTCTGTTTATGTCACTCAATCTCGAGGAATTACAGGTGGAAGTGAACAAGTTGGCAGGAGAAGCAGTGAAGACAGGACTTCTAGTGAAAGAAGTCACTCCCTTTACTTATCTGGTCAGCATCGTTTCAAATACAGGCTGCACGGATGAAGATATTTAAAAGTCAGATAGAATCAGAAAAGCAAGAGAGACCTCCCTTACTCCAAATGAGACTGAAAATCTAGCGCACTAAGTATGAGGGACAAGATTCAGATTTTCAAAACTAATTCCAAAACAGAATGTCTATATAGTTCAGAGTTTTGGTGCGTCAACACGCTACTGTAGACTTTCATCAACAGCCGCCTTCTCTGGCTGCATACTGAAGATCAGATGTCCGTCTGGAAAGGATAAAAAACCATGAACCTGTTGATCAACAAACTGAGATGGATCGGACACACTCTGAGTAGACCGTTAAGTGACATCACCCGTTAGACTCTCAAGTGGAATCCGAATAAGCAAAAACGAGTTAGGCATATATCCGTGGATAACATGGAAGAGATCAAGTAACGAGAAAATAAACGGTTTTGGGCATTCATGCAGTCACCTACAGAGGACCACAGAGAAAAAGGGTGGTATAGAGACGTGTTGTTGAAGTCCTACAGTCCAGTCGTAGCCATAAAGAGTAATAATGGTAATAATAATATGCCTCTTAATGTGATACCCTGGTAAATAGCTGTTCATCTAGTTTTCTTGACTATCTCAAATTCGTTTTTCATACCTGCTAAGCTAACCTTGTCATCAATGAATTATCATTAGAAAATTTCAATTTCTGTCAGGCATATTGTATTCACTGAAAACTTTTTGTTTGCAAAGACAATTTTCCAAGCATTGGTTTGTAGGAATTTGATTGATTGATCGACTGGTTACAGGATTTCATCATGAACTAATATCGGTTACAGAACCATTGGAAAACGTGGGAGTACTGAACAGTCAGCTGCCTTGTCCTAGTTTGGGACTCCTCACTCACCATCAGGGTTCGAACCCGGGACCTTCTGATTACAAGGCTGGCGAGCTCGTAGACTATTAAGCCACTGGGACCCAATCCAGTGGCCAGCCCATAAATTCCAACTACTGCCAATTCATGACATCGCACGACTGCTAAACAATGTCTTCAGTGAGTATTTGTCCTCACACCTGCTTCACCCTACTAGTCACGACATCCCACTAGACTTCATTACGTAACAACAAAGGGACGATAGGTGTTATTTCCATTTTGGATAAATTAAACCACAGTTTGAAGTTTGTGATTGTAGGTGCAATAAGAAACATTCATTAATAGCTCCTTTCATGCATATGGCATATTTATCATATTACTCGTTATTAGTGGTAGTAATCTGGTAAAGTGAATCGCTTTATCCTATCAAGACAAATCAGGAATGTGGTGACAAGAATTCGGCATGTATGAATACGCGTATGCATACAAATAACTTCTTAACACAAATGACAGAAAATTGAAAAGTTATTCACACTCTGAAAAATTCTTACATAAACCATCCCATTATTATGGATGCATGGACTTCATTAGTGAACATCCAGTCTGATATAGAAACATTTAAAAATACTCACTAGTAATCAGAAACAACGAAGTGTGGTTTGTGTTCGTTAATAAGGATACTGCTCAAATAGCTAATAAATTTCTTCTGAACAACTGAAGTTCTGTATACTATCAAAGCAAAACATGTAAGTAGGTGAAATCAGGAGGTACAGACATTCGAATATACTTCAGAAAATCAAGAATAACAAGTCTAGAGGGATGATATTAGCTCAATTTTGTCAATATCACAAATTCTTTCCAACTGCTTGAAACTTGAACAGAAAATATAAATGACAAAAATCTTCTGAACATACTTTATTCACGTCCAGAATGATTAACGGAGGTCAGCTTAAATCAGTGGGCTACCTGTTGTTTTAATGATCTGAGTAACACAGTGGGTCACTACTCATACTTGCACACAATTTCAAATAAATTTCTACCAACTCCTAGGAATTTTTCAAAGGAAATGCAGGAGGAATATTGTGGAGTAGTACTGAAGCAGCATCGGGTGGAAGAGGATGGCTTCAGATGATATTTTAACGTTTATTAAATTATCTGAAGATTCTACACAAGGAGTAAATACCTTGCAGTGGAACTCGCTGAAATCTAAGTATTGTAAACAAATGCATTTTCATCAATAAAGGTAACATTTGTTTACAGGAGTTCATCATGAGCTGACATCGGTTCATGAGTCAAACAAATTCCTACAAACCAATACTTGAATATCAATGAGACGCTCACTAGCATTTGGCCCTATTCAGGTAGGTAATTACCAGGGGTCTTAGTGGGAAGTCGTGACCAGTAGGGTACAGAAGGTCCGATGTGAGGACAAATACTCGCCGAAGACATTCCCTAGTGGTCGCGCCATGTCGTGAATTGGCAGAAGTTGGAATTGATGGGCTGGCCATGGAATTGGATCCCAGTGGCTTAATGGTCTACCAGTTGGCTCGACGTGTAACCCGAAGGTCCAGGGTTCAAACCTCGCTGGTGGGTGCGTACTGTCGAAGAGTCCCAAAATGGGATGAAACGGCTGTCCAGCACTAATCAATCAAATCCCTTGAAAGGTATCATTCTCTTTCTTCTTATTATGAAATTATTAGGAGCTGAAAGGATTGATTATTAATAGGGTAACCAGATGAATATCCTTGAAAGGCATAATTTAACATATTGGACAGAAACGAGTATATCAGTAAAATAGGTTGCGTAACCACAGGAACTATTTCTTATAAGGTGGCGAAAGTGACTTAGATGAGTGACGTTCATATGAAACGCGAGATTTCCTAAAACCGAAGACAATATGAAGAAGAATACATGATGTATAAACCACCATATAAATTTGTTTTGTACGTTTAGTCTCCTAAGTAGTTCAATGTTCACCACTGCTCTCTTTCTGTTTACTTACGGTTGAAACCAAATCTATGATAAACTGTTCCTAATTGAACTTTGTTTCTGTTTAAAATATTAAACATTGTCTGTTTTTAATTAATGTTCGTCCATTTACCTCTTCAAACAATCAATCCTCTTGAATCTTACTAATTTAACAACTGACAGCATTCTAGACTTATGTTATTTAAAGTTCCTGTGGATGGCTTCGCTGAAATATAGCTACTCAAACTTTATAATAACCCTGGTCAGGAATTTGCAATGTAGTTCGTTTACCACATTCATATTTACTGCGCGTTCGTCTGATTAGTTGATTAAGGTTATTATAATGGTCGTTCACCAGGGTCGCTTTAGTTCAGGGTAACCCTATCAATTACTCCTTGTCACTTCTTACATTTTCTATATTGTTCAGCTTGTAGGCAGTTGGAAAGAATCTCCAAGAACACAAAAATGAGCTCGTATTATCTGTGTACATTCAGGAGAAACAAGTCATGCATTGATCAGATCGCCACATTACGGATCATCATTGAACAAAGCCAGGAATGGCAGTCACCTCTCTGTCTCAACTTCATCGACTTTGAAAAGGCATTCGACAGCGTCGATAGAGAGGTGATTTGGAAACTACTTCGCTACTACGGGGTGCCACCGACAATAATACATCTCATCCAACAGCTGTACGACAATGCTGCATGCCAAGTAATCCACAACGGGAAACTTACAGAATCCTTCGAAGTGAGGACAGGAGTAAGACAAGCTGGTTGCCTACTATCGCCAATGATTTTCCTGATTGCAGTAGATTGGATAATGCGACAGACAGTGGGCAATGAGGAAACAGGCATAAAATGGACCCACACAAAAACTTGGGGGATCTGGACTTCACCGATGATATATGTCTGATTTCCCACAAACTGGAAGATATGCAAGTAAAAAGCAATAAGTTGGCAGAAGAAGCATCAAAGATAGAATTTCAAGTGAACAAAGAGAAAAAGTAGAGGTGATGAAGATTCCTGGGCAACACAACCAACAGCAGCAACAACAACAACTGACAACAATCAGCATAAATAGGAGGAACCTGAAAAAAACAACCTCTTTTACCTACCTACCTTGGAAGCATCGTTTCAACTACAGGCAGACAGAACTGACGAGGATTTCAAAGCAAGAATCGGAAAAGCAAGACAAGCTTTCACTACTCTCAAGTCTGTGTGGAGGTCAACAGCACTCAGCATCAAAAATAAGATCCGGATTTTCAACTCCAATGTGAAGTCAGTCAGTGCTACTCACTCTACGGATCAGAGACTTGCACTGCGCGTCACAAAGAGCACCTCAAACAAATTACAGACCTTCATTAACAGTTGTCTTCGCTCAATACTCAAGATCAGATGGCCAGAAAAGATCAGCAACAAGGATCTCTGGGAGCGAACCAACACAGCAGGAACCGATTGTGAAACAAATAGGCAGGGAGAAATGGAGGTGGATTGGCTAGGCCATACTCTGAGGAAACCATCAAGTGACATCACTAGACAAGCCCTTGAGTGGAACCCGAACGGGAAGCGGCGAGTTGTTCGTCCGATAGTGATTTGGAGGTCATGTGAAGAGGAGATGAAAGCATGTGGGCAGACTTAGAGCCAGGTGAAAACTCTAGCAGAGAACCGAACGCAATGGTGACGCACGGCTGAAGCCCTATGTTCTTCTAGGAATTAAAGGATACAATGATAATAATAATTATCTGTCTACATATTTTGTCCTTGCTTTGTTCAAGTTCATTATTGCGAAGGATTCTATGAAGTTCTTATAAGAATATGTATCACGCTTTACGCAAAGAACAGTTGATTTCACCATTCAACAAAACATATTTAAATCAAACAATGACTTTAGAAAGAAGAAACTACGCATAAAATTACCTCAACCATATTTTGTACTATTTGATTTGATGGTGTATTATTTAACCGTTTGAATAGATCACGACACAGTTGTGGAATAATACCCTCTTGTCCATCAACACCTGGTTTACCCATCATTGTATACGATTTCCCAGATCCTGTTTGACCATAGGCAAAGATGCATACATTATATCCTTCAAGTGCATGATTTAAAGCATCAACACCAATATCACTGTAGACCTGTTTTTGATCTGCATAGAATGGATCAGATTTCTACAAAATAAAATAGAACAGTTATGTGTAAGTGCATATATATATGTATATGGAATTGGAGAAATATTATAATAATGAAAATAATTTGCTTAATTCCAAAACAGTACTTGTGATACAGAATGGAATTCTCAGCATTTTTACTATAGTATTGCATCCAGTTAGTACATTATCAATAAATAGAATTCTACATAGATTAAGGAAATCTCAGTTCATTATGACAACAACACATTGGCATGTCGGTAGCAATGCCAAAGTTGAACAGTGTTTGAAGGTGTAAGAAAAGTAGGTACTATCATATAAAGAAACAAAGCAGCACATAACGGAAAAAAAAGAGAAAAAGAGAGAGAGAATAGGAAAAGAAAGAAAGAAAATGTTGTACCTATAAATGATATGAGTTGGAAAGACGAGGCCCAGTTGTACTACTGACTATTTAATGAATTATAGGTGTCACGCCTAATGCTTTCTTTATCCCACAGAACACGAGCTAAGTAGGGTATGGTTGAGTTTTTGTACTTGCTGGTGAGAGCATATAGTTTTTTATATAGGCTTCTGGTTTTGCCTGATGAGATACAAGGGGAGAGTTGTGAACGAAGAGGGTGGTGTGAGTTAGATAAAATGAATTTAGCCCATTTTTCACATGAGTCCATGTGCCTGTCAACCAGAATATTAACAAGCTGGTTAAGTGGCACGTTGCTTACCCTGCTGACAACTTTTAACATCCTGTGTAATATGTTATAGTCTTTCTTCGGTAGCCCTGGAAAAATTAAGGGGGGGCAATAGAGAATAATAGGCAGGATGCCAGACTTAACGAATAGTAAGAGTAAGTAAGGGTTGGGTTATTCCAGAACGTTTTAACTTCTTGACGTAGAAGGTAAGACGGAATATTTTCTTAGAAATCATCAAGATATGAGACGACCAGGAAAGATCAGCAGATAGAATGACGCCTAGGTATTTAATTTCCGATTTGGTTATCGTGTAAAGGACAAGATCTGACACGTTTTGCAGCGGCACCATGAAATACCGACTCGTTTGATTGGAAAGAAGTATGGAGTAGAATGTTACATTTTACGGATGGTAAAGTGGTCCCTTCATGACTCTATAACTTTAAGGTTGTTCCTCTACATAACTGTAAAGTGTTCACCCTTGGAAAATCCAAAGTAAGAAAGAATCAACATTTTGCCAATTGGATATCGTCTTGTAACAAAATCAATATTACCTTGGAAATCTCCCTTCATGAACCTGGAATTCATAGGTGACATTGAAGCGGAAATTCTAAATGTCTGAAGAAGACATTTCAAGCAGCCACGCTACGCATCGTGTCATCCAGCGGAAAATTTTTCCGATCTAACTTTAAGGATAGGATACCACTTTTAGCCATCTCAGTGTTTATTTATCAGTTTACTTGTTCGTGTGGAGCAAAGTATATTGGCCGTACGCAGCGTCCGGTTCGCAAACTTAGTCTGAAATACTGTCCAGCCAGGCTAGCAGCTCCATCTTCGAACACCTTGTCAACTGTGGACATCGAGCACGCCAGCATGAATACTTCATAGTGCTACACGGAGTCCCTCAATTTCATACGAAAGGACTTGGAATACGCCATCTGCACACAGCTAAATCATAGGCTATTCGGGATCTGAAAGCGGACCTCTACATTCAAAAGCGCCAAATACATTCACTCGCCTTACCGTGGCCAGAATAACGTTCTCACTATAATTTAGCCTCCTGTTACTACATAAGTAATATTATTCTTATCATCCTTATTTTATTATCACAACTACTACAAATGTTTATTCATAATATTGCGTTTTAATATAAATTTTATGAAACTACTTCATCGTCTTTCCAGTAGTTCTTGTTCAATCTACGCAACTATAATGATTAGTCGTTTTCTCACACTTATTACGTCATTCCAGCTTCTGTCTCTTTTCTTACTTCCAGTTATTCAACCCTTCTAGGTTAAACCTTACATTACGTAATACAATTTCGAAGACAAATTTTACCAGTTTCTGATTGGTCTTATGAATTCCTTATTAAATATAATTACGATTGTACAGCAGCTTACGTGAAAATGAATCGTCGAAAAGAAAATTTTCTTTGCTGTTTACGTCTTTTTCATAATTCAATTTGGGGATATTTTGTTCAGTATTTTATCCTAAAGCATCTGTCCTCAATAAGAAGTCACTATCGTATTAATAATTAGTTCCTAATATTCAAGTATCGGTTTGTAGGGATTTGGTTGATTGCTTACAGGATTTCAACATGAGCTGACATCGGTTACAGAACCACTGGAAAACCTGGGAGTACTGGACAGCTGTTTCGTCTTATTTTGGGACTCTTCAACAGTACGCACCCACCGGGATTCGAACCCAGGACCTTCTGGTTACAAGGCGAGCTCGCAGACCATTAAGCCACATGGACCCTATCTAATGTTCTGCCCATGAATTCTAACTTCTGCCAATTCACGATATAGCGCGACCGCTAGCCAATGTCTTCGGTGAGTATTTGTCCTCACACCCGACCTGCTGCACCCTACTGGTCACGACTTCTCACTAGAATCCCGGTGGGTGCGTACTGATGAAGAGTCCCAAACTAGGACGAAACGGCTGTTCAGTATCCCCAGGTTTTCCAATAGTTCTCTAACTGATGTCAGTTCATGATGGAATCCTGTGGCCAATTAATCAAATCCCTACAAGGCAATACTTAAATATTTTTTTTCTTCACGTTCCCCAGTGGAACATAGGGCTGTGAAATGTTTTTACATTGCGAACTATATTTAAAAGAAGTTTTGCATCCTCCTGACACTGTAATTCATAATATCATGTAACACTTTGAAATGTAAAGTTGAAGATGTCAGTTTACAGAAAGTTCCTTATCAATCATCTGTATTATGGAAGGGTTAACCGTGAATGGAATTCACTAATCGTCTAGTATCGCGTCCATGGTCCAGTGGCAGAATGTTTGTTAACCAAACACGTGGTCAAGAATTCAATTCCTGGCCGACACACTCATTAATCCCCGCCTACTTCACTATCCGATATTAATGTCGGATGAGAAGAAGGGTTGAGTGTAACACTAGCAATCTCATCCTATGAAAACTATATTACGCCTACTGAAAATTAAAATCCCGTAGCCTGAAGCCCTATGTTCCACTCGGAACTCATGGAATCAATATAAAAATCCTTTAGATTCACAATAAGCGTTTACTTGTTGGGGTGTTATATATTTTTCGATTTTTTGTTTTACATGAAATTCGCAATCCGCAGTGATACAAAATACCTATTACGTAATCATGCATTGTTAAAAAATTTTCCGTGTCCACAAAACTCATTTAAACATTTTTTAAAAAATGTCTGCATTGTCTGGGAATCAAATTAGTTGCTTGCAAATTATGCAATTCGAAGCACGAATTCCCTATACTTTCCTACAGAAACCAACAATATTCAGGTCTTTGTTCCGGCATATACCCCTACATTGCATTTTTGTATAGCCGTAAAGGAAAACAGACCAGACAACTAAGCAGAAATACAATCAAAAGCCTGTTTAATGTTCGGTTATAGCCGAAATTGTCACTCTAATATGAAAATGACCGTTGCAGAATTGATGATAATGATATAGAAATCAAGTCTGACGTTAAGTATCTTGGATTAATTCTTTCTTCTGACCCATTCTGGCCTTCCCATGTCTTAGCGATTTCTAAAACAATATTTCGTCTGATATTTTACATTAAGAATTTGAGGCGCTCAGACATAACTCAGCCAAACCCTCCTCTTACAGTTTGTCAACTCGTGTATCTTACCTATTCTTCTTTATTGATCACGCTTATTCTTTCCTGGATTGCTTAAAAATGACAATGTTATACTTCGTAGAACTCTGAAGATTAGGTGTCAGTAGGGCAGGTGGTGGCATCCCATTGGGCCATATCGTTGACATTTTCATTAATAGGCACTTGAATGAATTTTGTCAGACTGTGAGCATCCACCGCAGCACCCGCAGCTCCAACCTTGTGTCTCCTCAAGTAAAACAAGAAGTCTTTCCAGAAGACTTTATGCACGTACGTCTAAGTGTGAAAATTTCATTATACCATATTTGGCACGTACTTTGTGTGATGAAAATAGTGTTAGGCATGAACTAACTAACCTTCTTTGCACTAGTAAGTAAACAATTTCCTCCACCCTTATAACAGAAATCTGTATCATTATTGTACTTCTTATATTTATAATCCTCTCATTTATTTTTGCTGATTTTGTCTATTTTCTCATCAGCGTAAACATCATTTAAGCGGTGTAATAACTGTTATTTTCTGTCTTTCCCCTCACCATGCTATATCAACAGGACGTTAGATACAATAATCTATAACGTGCTAAACATTTCCAAACTGAATCGACAATACTGCTTCAAACAAACCCACTGTTATTATTATCATTATATTTATTACCCTTATTATGTATTCCGAATATTTTTCACATTATATCGTAAATATAGACAAATTCCTGTGGTTGATTTTATTTATATTTTGAGTAAATTAGATGCAATAATGTAACAAATGCTGAGAATTCCTTTCTGTATTATAAGTACTGTTTTTGGAATAAGGCAGATTATGATAATAATAATAATAATAATTTGCTTTATTCCAGAAACAGTACAGTGGTACAGTGTGGAATTTTCAGCACATATCTACAATATTTGCATCTAATTTTACCGACGTTTAAAATAAGTATTAAACAAACAAAAAAAAGTAAATCTGAAGACACCAACAGCAAAAAAAAAAAACCAAAAAAAAGAAAAAACAGGATAAACACAAAATAATTATGAATGCGAAAAAGTACCAAAGTCTGCCAAGGTCTAATGCAGTGTTTGTGGTGGTAGTGTGAGTAATCCTGAGTAATACAAAATTTTTTTTTTGAGGTGGTGACTATGGCGTTGACAACCAATGATTGTCAGTTTAATATTGCCGAAAAGTATAGAAAATAAGAAAACACAACCACAAAACTAATAATTACATGATGGTTAATGACAGGAAAATTTTATAATACTCATATTGCTAATATAGCCGGAACCAGTGGATATACAATAGAAGGAATATAGTAAAGTACAAAAAAGGGAAGCCAATATTTCAGGTAGCTAAGTAGTTTGAAGAAGGAGTTCACTAAAGAATACGAAATAAGAGAGAAATAAAAGAGTATGAAAATTATGTTGTTAATAACAAAGCAAGTCACAGGTTTCACGCCTAACATTGTCTCTGTCGCTTAGAACACGGGCCAAGTATGGTATCGTTGAGTTCCTGTACTTGGTTGTACGAGCATAGATTCTTTTATACTGATTTCTGGTTTTACTTGATGAGATACAAGGAGAGAGATGGGAATAGAGGGGGTGTTGGGGGTCTGAGAGTATGGTTTTAGACCATTTTTCACATGTATTCAGATGCCTATCAACTAAAGTAGTCACGAGCTGACTGAGATTAACACCACTAGTCCTACTAACTACTGTCAACATCCTTCTCAGGATGGAATAGTCCTTTTTCAGTAGACCAGGAAAGACTAACGGGGAGCAGTAAAGTAGAATAGGTAGGATACAAGAGTTGACAAATTGTGAGAGTAGAGGTTTGGTGATTCCGGATTGTCTAAGTTTCTTAATGTAGTAGGTAAGACAGAACACTTTCCTAGAAATCATTAGGATATGAGATGTCCAAGTAAGGTCAGAAGATAGAACTAGACCGAGGTATTTTGCATTAGACTTAGTTTCAATTTTAGTCCCCTCAATGCAACAGTCTTCATGAGAACTTACTAGTGTTTGTAGATCTCGTTTATGCCTAAGGGAGAAGTCGACAGTCTGGCATTTTGAGGGATTCAGCATGAGACCATTTAGTTTGGACCACTCACTGATGTCCGACAGGAAGCTATTTAATTTGAGACAGTCTGACTGAGACTTAATGGAAAACGATACAGACAGGTCATCTGCATATTTGACGAAGTTGACTTCATCTGGGAGAGGTAAATCATGTAAGAAGAAGGAAAAGAGAAACGGAGAAAGAACAGCACCCTGAGGAACTCCAGATTCAGTAAGCAATGGAGAGGAAGATGCACCTTTATATACCGTGTACTGCATCCTATTAGAGAAGTAAGAGTGCAGCCAGTTGATTAGTATTTAATGCTGCAGACAACATCACACCGAGCTTTAAACGCAACCTGTGGTGTTATAATGATAGACCGGGAATTTCTGCCGTATCACTTTAGTTTATTTTCAGGTTAATTTTACAAATCCTGATTGAAAGGTTCGGTCTCTGTCGACATGTCAGCTCCTAGTACAAACAATTCGACGATGTTTGGGGAATACCGTGAATGTATTTTGGAATAATGATGACTGGCAGTGGGAATGCACGTACACCCAACTAACCAGTTCCAAATGGGAAGAAATAAGCATCCTGGATTCCACCGTTAGTGACTACCAACCAACCGTAGACACGAAAGGAGATCTAATCCGTTTTCTCTTTCAACATGGGTCCAGAGAGTTTGTAGTGAAGATAGTGTTGATGATGAACTCAAACAAGCGAAAGAAACCTTCATAGAGAATGGGTATCCACCACGCTTCGTAGGGGCTAATAGCAAATTACGTGGAAGAAATGCAGACATTTATAAGGTAGCTAAAAAGGTGTTGCGATTAAACTTAGAATTTAGAGGTGACACTGCGAGTGAGACACTTAAAAACCGCCTGACAAGATCATTGAGAAAAACATTCCTTCCTGCCACTTTACAAATAGCCTATTCTAGCCATCCACTGATGCACCTTAATGCAAGGGAAATGTTACCTCGATTGTCTAATTTCATGTGTAATTATATGTTCACCTGCTCTTGAGGAGCTAGGTACATAGGAGGTTTGTTGAGAAACATATCCCGCCTCCGCCCTCGAGAGCATCTTTAAGCTTGGCTGAGTAAAGAAGAGGATCTTAGAGGTATTAATTCATCGGTGTTGTAACACGCTGTAGATACTGACCACGCATCACCGGACACATTGTTTAATATAGTCTACAAATTCCGGCAAAGGCTTTGGCAATATACAACATAAAGCCAGAACTTTGTGTACAAAACAATTTGTACGATCTCTTTCGTTACCATGGTGATGATTTTACAATGCAATTCACATAAGAACTTTATTTTCCTTCTTTATTCCATGTTCCATTTTTGTTTTATTTTATTTCACGCTATGTTATTATATTCTAACATTTTATCTAGTCTACTATTTTGACAACATTTCACTCATTCTTTGCCTCTACCAAATTATGTTCACATATTCATATTTCCGAATGTACTTTATTTTCCGATCATCTATTTCAAACACGTCTACTAAACTTTAGGTTGACCTCCATTTATTTCCTACAGTTGGTTTGTAAGGATTAGTTTTGTTTGTACGAGTTGATCACAGATTGATATCAGTTAGAGAACCATTGAAAACTAGCCACAGGGAGTACTGGACAGCTGTTGCATCCTAGTTTGGGAATCATCGGCAGAACGCACCCATTGGGGTTCGAACCCACGACCTTCATTTGTCCAATCAAAGGTGACTCATAATCCAATACACCAACATTATCGCACTTTAGTATTCCCTGTCACTGTCAAACTTTAACAACATACACACACACACGTAGGAGAACTAATTGTTCGGTTATGAAAATGAAATCGTCGATGAATTCCTTGTTTTATGTCTCAATTTAAGGGAAATGTATCGCTAAGAGAGACGGCAGTAACAAATATCGGTTTCATTTTTCTTCAAAACATTGTTCAACATTAACTTACATCTGTATGCGACCAGTAACTGTAGTCGAATTCAAAAACTTTCACTGGTTCCTTTGAGTTCGGTTTCCTTATACCTATTAAAGAAAATAAATAAAAAAACACACATTAGAAACCGATCTACTATCAAGATACTGCCGTGGAGCAAAACGTACAATTCAGTCTGCATTAGAATGGGCAGAGTTAATAAATCCGTTTAGCTGAGCCACCGCCCTCCTCGACGAGCAATGTTAGCTAGCATCGAATTAGGTTGTTTAAGGGTTTAGAGTGATTAAATCAGAATCTAACATCAGTCGATGAAGCGTCCAATAGTCGGTTTGAACTGTGTAGAGAGGCATGGGCTATGTGGTTGGGTCCCTCAGGACGCTAAGCACCAATGACTGGGGACTGTTTGTGGTGGGGTTGAAAAGCGTTTTCAATGGCTCATACGCATTCAGTCTTCTTTATATCAACTAAACCAGCATGTTTTTGTTCATGTTCCTATCCTCCTATCTCATAATTCACCTTATTAATATGATGTCAATCATTATTTTTAATTTGTATTTTTCTCGCCCTGTCTACCTTCATGTGCCATATGGGGTGTGATCATTTGGTATGCTAAACTTCTATGCAAGGTTCTATGTTGAAATTCAGTTAGGCAGTCAGTTGTTATGGGAAAATAACCCATTAGTCATTTGTTTATGATCCTGTGACCCCAAATTAGCATGTTTTTCATAACTTTATTACTCCAGTCTACATATCTGATGAAGTGATGATAGTAAACTGCTTTTCAAAAGAAACTCAAACGTATACTAAATCATCTAAATGAGTATTTTACCCTTAACTTCATAACGACAAGGGCCAGGCAGCAGATCGTTTATTGGGAAATACAAGGGATATTTGTAGATTTTTATGTGCAATATTATTAGAGTTATTGTCAGCTGGGAAGCAACGTTTTCTGATTGGTTGTTTTCTTGTTGAAAGTTATTCTGTACTGCTTGTGACCGTTTCTTAGATAGTTAAGCCTGCGAATCGTATTTCCACACGTTAAGCCTGCTGTGATTGGTTTGTGGGTTCCTCAAGGTTAATCTTTGTTATTGTTTTTTCTCATGACCCCGATTCGGGCCGTAAACATTGACGAAAATTGTTGTCTACAATTATGGCTAGCAGACAGCTCTCACCACAACTTTATCTGATACATTTTTTAACTGCAGTAAATAACCGTAACATCGATGAAAACTTACACCGGCTACAAGTCCCATTAAATTTTTCTGTCATTTTATTCCTTGATCTGTAGTTTGATGACTGTGGAGCAACAACGAAACACAAGCGTTATCCACCACTGTGCTATACAGTAATCGACTGCACATAGTGCTTAAACACTCGTGAATGGGTGCCTATTCGACTTGGAAAGGCAGGAACTAGGCCATCTTAATTTTATTTAGTAAGGACATTTACGGTCGTATATCGAATGCCAGACAATCTACCCTAAAGGTAAGCGAATATGCTTCCTATTTTCATATTTTATTACGATTTCCTAGGGTTCCAAATGAAACACGAGGTTCCAGCATTACTTCTCCATTTTGTACTGCAGTCCTGATTCATTAGCTTGTATCTCCTCTTCATGCGATTTCCTCCATGTTATCTATCAATATGCAAGCAGATCCGTCGTTTCCCATTCCAGTAACATTGGAGGATCTAGAGTGCAATGTCACTCAACGGTCTTCTCAGGCTGTGTTCGGTCAATCTGCTTTTCCTTCGCTATATTTATTGGGCAGCCGGTTCTCGGTTGGTTCGTTGTCATAGCTCCTCGTCACACAACCTTTCTGACCATCCGATCTTTAGTATGGTGCCAAGGTGGCTGTTGATGGGAGTCTATAGACAGTTGGAAATGCTTTTGGTGATGTGTAGAGTCTCTGAACCATTTAGAATCTCCGCTTTGAAATTACTGTTAAAAGTCTGAATCTTGTTCTGTATGATTCCTAGCCAAAGCTAAAGCTATAAGATTCAATAACGATAGAAAAATTATGTGTGCAACATAGTACATGCACCTTCTGTGTTTACCAATGGCTTAAAAGAAGTTCACCATGGGAGTAATTATTTCATATTTTCATATCTTATTATGTATATATACATCGTAGCAATCTCTTCCCCACACTTCTTACTCTTTTCACCCAGTTTTCTTATTCCTTTATGTTCCCAGTGGTAAATATGGCTTCAGGCTGGAGCTTTGAAGTCTCTGTAGCAGTGGTGCTTATTTTTACGGGATAGGGATGCTAGCCTCATGTGTCCAACCTTCTCTCTTAACCAGTCTCATTACTGGCTTAATGAGGTACAGGAGTGCGTCGGTCGCTGGCCGGGGATCGAACCCCGGACCACATGAGGCGTGGTTGGCAGACATTCTACCACTGTGCCACAGACGCATTTTCACCTTATTTACTTCGCATTACTATTATTATAATTATCACTATCTGTCATCCTTTTGATTTAAACCAAGCTTATCCCGGATCTTCATTGTTTGATTGCTGTTCAATACATGACCTCTGTAATTCCATATTATGTTTGCTTATTAGGTATATCAGTGAAACAGTATTATTTACTGGATGACGTTTCGAACAAAATTTATTGTTCATAATCATATCAATTGTGATCACACGACTTTGACACTTGAGTTTTATACCTTTCTTTGTTTTCTCCTATTTGTCGTAGAGGGAGTAGAATTTTCCAGATATCTGGGACAGGTGATGAATCATTCCTATTACATGTATTTGCAGTTGATTCGATGAACAAAGCTTCTGTTATCAATCTCTCCCTATACCCTGTTTCAAGGCTTCTTTTATATGTATCAGTTCCTGTTTTAGATTTTCTTTGGTACTACTTAATACTTAAATTACCCGGATAAATTAGTCAGGAAATATGTAAGGAAATGTAAAAATAAAATAAATAATGATAGTAGCGATAGGGATAATAACAATAATAATGATAATGATAATAGTGATAATAATAATATTAATGACGACACCAACAATAAAGAATCTAAATCATCAGTAGTAATTCCATACAAGGAAGGAACCTCGGAAACCTTACGCAGAATTCTTAACAAGGCAGGAATAAAAACGGCATTCAAACCCACAAACTCAATTAGAAACAAGCTTTGTCGGTTAAAGGATCCTGTAGAGCCCTTAAAACAAAACAATTTAGTTTATCTCATACCCTGCATTGATTGTCAGGTCAAATACATAGGTCAAACTAGTAGAACAGGGGCAGTCAGACTAGCTGAACATAAAAACTTAACAAAATCTAGATTGGTTGACTCGAATAAGATAAGAAATCTAAAGAATAGTTCAGCTATAGCACTACATGCAGTCACACACAACCATACAATAGGATGGGATAGGATGACAGTTTTAAAATCTAATGTCACAGGGTATAGGGAGAGATTGATAACAGAAGCTTTGTTCATCGAATCAACTGCAAATACATGTAATAGGAATGATCCATCACCTGTCCCAGATATCTGGAAAATTCTACTCCCCCTACGACAAATAGGAGAAAACAAAGAAAGGTATAAAACTCAAGTGTCAAAGTCGTGTGATCACAAATGATATTATTACGACCAATAAATTTGGTTCGAAACCGCGTCATGCAGTAAATAATACTGTTTCACTGTGTGATATACCTAATAAACAAACTAATATGGAATTACTTACTACCACACTGCCCAAGTTTTACACATATATTAATATGACCTCTGTATTTTACAATCACCGTTTTTCTTATTTATCTTCCCCTAAACTTACATTCAGCACACCTTATTTGCTGGTTTATATTTTCGTAGCATTAATATCTCTCTTATATCACTGCATATAACTCACTCCCCTCGAAAACTTATATTTTTGTTGATTATGAATACAAAATAATTGAGCTAAGAATATCCTTCTCGATAAATCCCTCTTCTGGCTCTACAATTATATACATGCATGTTTATATACATAGAATATTCTAGATTAGTAGTCAATAACAATATTAGTGTTTTTTAAATAATATCGATTTGTAAAGTTAGATCACAATGGAATCACCACAGTTCATTAAAGATGCTTAAATAATAATAATAATAAACATATAATAGCAAATAGAATATCAACTAATATTAGGGAAATTTCTACAAAAATGAAGGATCATTCAAACCTAGATAGCCAAGGTAAGGAAAATGTCTCCACTAGTTTCTTTTGGACACACATATTTGGCTTCCTAATGTAGATCCCAACAGCCAGCCTCAGCACTACTTAGTAGTCGAACTCTTAAGGCGAAATTTAGATTTGTTAGTATGCGGCAAATGACTCTGAAAGCTTGCTTGACATCAATCTTGTGAACTGTATCCGCAAGATGAGATAGAATGGCGCTACGAATAGATTTTGTTTGTCCTTTACTTAACCACTATGCAGGGTGATGTTTGGAAATCTGACAAGAAACACGCCTAATTACACGGGCTATGTAAATACACTAGCATGTCATTTAATTGCGTAATTACATTTTATTGCAAGCTGTTACTGATAATACGTTTTGTATTTTTCAAGAGTTTGGTTTGTAAGGAATAGATTTGTTTATACGAGTTTGACCACGGATTGGCATCAGTTAGAGAACCATTGCTACAGGACAGAGTTTCCTCGAGTTCTAGTGGGAAGTCGTGACCAGTGAGATCCATCCAGTCAAGTGTGAGGATGGATGTCTCACCGATGACAATGGTTGCTCGTCGTGCTATATCACGAATTGGTAGAAGTTAGAATTCATGGTCTGGACACTGAATCGGGTCCCAGTGACTCAATGGTGTACGAGCTTGCCTTGTAACCAGAAGGTCCTTGTTTCGAACCCTGGTGGTGGATGCGTACTGCCGATGATTCTCAAACTAGGACGAAACAGCTGTCCAGTATTCCCTATGGCTGGTTTTCAATGGTTCTCTAACTGATATCAATCCGTGGTCAAACTCGTATAAACATTTCATATTCCTTTGAAATGATAATTAAAACCAATGGGCTTTTATTTCACCTTTTACTTGTACCCGAAGCAGAGATTCTGACTATCCTAAAGCTTTTCTTTCCCTGCTCACTTGATTCTCATCCTCACACTGCAAACTTGTCTCCTTTTACTTTGATTTCCCTCGAGGACTTGTTTTGGAATGAAATATCGCTGTGCTTTGCCTATCCCCTCTCTTCAGTAATATTTTTGGGTTTACAGCTTTCATTTATGCTGCATGATATATCATAGTACACCAGTCATAAATACGCATAATGTGAACGTTTTAATTTTCATCTAAATGACTTATATCTATATGTGTTATATACGCTAATTAGCTGCCCCACTTCCGTTACAATTCATTTATATCTCTAAATTTATGATAAAAACGTTTAGCAATCAATAAAACAACTAGCCAACCGGTTTTATTTATTTTTTTTGTTTTTAAAAATGTGGGCTTACAAAATTAGGCAGTTGTGTATTAACGCCTTTTTGTACTTCACTACATCTCTATTACGTATATTTTTTCTATTCTAAACGATAGAAATGTATAATTCTCAATGGAAATAAGAAGCCTGACTGATTTTGATATTATTGGTTAAAAGGGAAACGTTTGTGGAGGAATTCCCAGTAGTCCTGATTCCGCTAACTACGGTTAAAAAAATCGATGTTCAGCGTAGGTTCAATGCTATCGCATAGCGTAAAAAGTAAATTTTTAAGATGTTGAAAAAAGACTTTGTGTAGAACAAGTCAATAAACGTTGACTTGCTGTGAAAATCAACAAGTTGGCAGCAGAAATGGTGAAGAAAGGACATCAAGTGAACATGGAGAAGAAGCTGTTGACGCCAAAGAAAATGAAGACACACTGAACACAGACTTTGGAGACTCCCCGACTGACATCATGCGCCAGGGCATCGAACATGGAAACAGAATCGGAAGCGACGGGTCAGGCGTAAGTCAAAGGGTGATATATCAGAAATCATGTGAAAAGGAGACGACAGCCAGATGAAGGAGACTTCAGAAGACAGTATGTAAAACGGAAATATACTACTGAAACCTTAAGCCCCGCTTGAAACCCAAGGGGATAACGATAGTCAGGTATTGGTTTTGTAGGAATGTTGTTTGACTGGTTGGAGGATTTCATCATGAGCTGACATCAGCTAGACAACCATCGGAAAACCAACAAGGAGTACTGTACAGCGGTTTCGTCCCAGTTTGGGACTCTTCAACAGTACGCACCAACGCCACAGGGATTCGAACCTAGGATCTTCTGGTTACAAGGCCAGCGAGCTCGTAGACCGTTAAGCCACTGGGACCTGATAATATCGTGGCTAAGCTTCAAGCATTTCTACTGACAGATTCTGTTCAGAAATGGAACTCATTTGCCTTCAATTTTTTTAAGATGACAGAAAATTAATAGCCATTTTAAATTAATTTAATTTGAGTAAATTAAGTTATTTCTCAGATAAAAAATAAATAAATAAAAATTTCCCTTATTTTTGCTATTTTTATAGACGTTTCAAGTTTTAATCCGTTGTTAACACCACTATCTATTTTTCTTATTGCAGAAATTTTGAATTACACATAATATCGGTTAATAGTTAGGTTTGGTTAAATCATTCTACGCCTTCTACTGCAACAATTTCTCCTTTTACGTTTCAATTTGGTAGAGTGAATGGTGCCTAAAGTTATGTGAGAGGCATTGCAACTTGACTCGAAGGTCAACTAAGCCGTCTCCGTTGTGAAATCCTTTAACACCATTATTCCATAGAGTCTGAGGTTATAGATATCTCCCCAACGTAATCTGTTGCCCACCCCCTTCTGGCAAACAATTACATTTAGGTTTAAAATAACTAAATATTAGCTATAAAATAAGGTTAGATAACAGTCTGATGCTTAAGGTGACTCAGGCTTTATTTCACTGAATAGTTTGCTCATTGCTGCGCCAATCGAAACGCATGAATTCATGGTGCCTGGTTAAACAGTTTCTTGGCAGATAAGTGTCTGCAACCTTTGGTAAATATCTTCAAAGAACTGACTT